GTTGTCGTCGTAGTAGTAGTAGTAGTGGTAGTAGTCGTAGTAGTGGTAGTAGTGGTAGTAGTAGTAGTAGCAGCAGTAGTAGTAGTAGTAGTAGTGGTAGAGGAGTAGGAGTAGGAGGAGGAGTAGGAGTAGGAGTAGGAGTAGGAGTAGGAGTAGGAGTAGGAGTAGGAGTCGTAGTCGTAGTCGTAGTCGTAGTCGTAGTAGTAGTAGTAGTAGTAGTAGTAGTAGTGTAGGAGTAGTGTAGGAGTAGTGTAGGAGTAGGAGTAGTAGGAGTAGGAGTAGGAGTAGGAGTAGGAGTAGGAGGAGTAGTAGTCGTAGTCGAAGGAGGAAGAAGTAGAAGAAGGCAGCAGCAGCAGCAGCACAACGGCCCCATGGGCGTTGCTGCACCACAAGCAGGTGCACCGGTCAGCGCGGGGATAGCCATGCTTCATACATGTGAATGAAGCCGTGCGCCAAGTTGCCCAAGTAGGCTGCGATAAGAAAAACCCAATCGTGTTGTGTCGCTGGGGCATCAGAGTAGTTCTCCTTGAGGTCGATGTAGCCTGCATGCGAATATATATATATAGTATATCGTATAGTCGTACTCGTTGATAGCAAATATGGTACGTGTAAAAGGTCTTGCACATATCCTTTCTTTTTGGCCTGAGGAGGGCGGGCCTCCAACCCCCAAGGTCTGATAGAGCAGCGTTAGCATGACCTTGCAAGGGTCGTGTTTTTATGCATCATGCGCTACCAGAGAGGTCTTTCAAAATGGCCGGCTGATCCTTCGCCAAAGAGATCGCCGAGGGCCGTGCATCGCCGAGCGTTAAACTGGCGGCTTTCTGGCATCCTTGGTTTTTGAATGTAGGGCACACTGCGACAATCCGATTTATCATTCCGACAAGCGATTTCAACCCACACCTTGTCGGTTGCGCTTTATCGCCGTTCCAGTGGGCTCCTTTTCGATCTGTTGCCACTCGAAAGGCCATGGTGGCCAAGCATGTCGTCCCACTGTGAGGTCCCTGAGAACAACAAGGACTGGCTCGAATGGCACTGTAGCCTTTCCAAGACATCATACGACGAATGCTTCCCATGCGGTTGCCTGGCACATGGCAAAGAAGTAAATGGCCATGGCCATGTCCTACAGCTTACCGTGTATCACCTGAACAAAGCAAACACAGAAAACGGCTTTCCGAACCTAGGGTACAATCACCGCAGATGTGGGTTCGCCATTCCGAATTCGCAATGAAGGATCAGTCAGTTGTTCGACCTTGCAGACACATGCTCCTCCCTCCCTCCCTCGCTCCCTCTCTCTCTCTCTCTCTCTCTCTCTCTCTCTCTTTTCTTTCTTTCTTTCTGCAGGGCATAGGGGTCGGTTGGCCCGACCCTCAGGCCATAGGCCCGCCCTACCACCCATTGTGTTATTGAGTGGTAGGCATTGGGGTCTCTCTCTCCCTCTCTCTCTCTCTCTCTCTCTCTCTCTCTCTCTCTGTATTTCTTCGTCTTGCGGTGAACCTCAGTGCTAGGACATAGGCAGCACAACTGTTCCTTTGGCTCTGGAAGGGAACTTGACCACCTTTTGCTGCCTCCCGACCGATCAAATGCCACCAAATAGCGGTTTTGCCACGACGAGTCCTGGCAATTACGAGGAAGCGTGCCTCGGAAGATCTTGGTGCGCTTTGACTTCCCCCGAGCAGTTGTGACGGCATGTGCCAAGCTGCCGTAGACAACAGCCACGAGGACGAGGAAGATAGGAAGTATCAGCAGGTGCCTTGACAGCAAAAGCAACCAATCTTCCAGCAAGAACCCACGCAAGATCCTCAATCACAACTCTGAGACAGAGAGCGGCAGTCCCCGCCAAAGTCTACCAAAAGTCCATCTGCTTGGCCGAGAAGCAATCCAAGGAAGATGCAGCACGACACTTTGGTCGTCCTTGGCCAGAGGCAATGATGTCTTGCAGCTTCCGGAAACGCAGCGTGGGGACTGCAGAAAACCGGGCAGAGGTCACCAGAGTGCAGTGCCAAGCATCTGAATAACCAACTGCCGCATTGAGGCGCTCTGCATTGGAGCCGCGCCATGTACACAGATCAAGAGTACGTCTGGTAGAATCCGCCCTGCTAGAAGGAAGTTAAGCTGGCCACTTCAGAGAAACCGCTGTCAAATGCATATACAGGCTGCACATAGACTCTGACATAGACATATGTTGCCTTGGTGACACTAGCTGGCATGACTGACGACTACGACAGATTCTCCTGAGCCGCTACAGCGCCGAGCCACACCACCGTGGATACTACATGACATGTCCCGCAGTGCAGGGACACCGAGAGGCCGAAGCTGCATGAATGTTTCGGTTGAGGAGCCTGAAGGATATACGGCGTTTCCAAACTACGTGAATTTAGCAGGCACTTCATGGGCATCGTGCGGTGATGTCCCTCGCGGTTTTCACATAACGCCGAACAACTGCGACATGGCAACTACAGGGGTGAGACTGCTACATGCACCGGTCGGTCTCTGCGGCACACCTCTTGCGAGACCTGCAAACGGGTGTGCGCAGCTTCCTACGGGACCAATTAAGTCACCTTGTCCGCCATCGGTGCTATTATGTCTTGTAGCCCCAGGCAGCCTACCACGATTTCGTGCACAACCCACCTGATGACGGACGCTCTCATAGTACCCCCCGGCAAGTGCTTTGCACTCCCCGGGAGGATCGTCTTTTGACCTCTTCTAGTCTTGCCCTTGCCTCTGCTCTACTGTGCGGCACATTGCGCTGCACACCCCGCAGATCTCCGGAGCCCCATGTTATTGTTTGCAGGTTGGGTTCACAGTCAAGAGACATTGAGTCGAACCAGTCCCCAAGATCTGCAAGCAGATGCACGGCCGACTGACTCCTCTTCTCCCAGAGGCCCCCAAGGGCCCGCAAGCGGCAGCTTCAAAGCTCGCTGCAACTGTGGGGGCTCTGTTGGTCCCCGTCACATGCCTCTTACATCCTCACCAGCAACCTTCCGCCCTCCTGCCAGTCAAAATGAATGAGCTGAATGAGCTGTCACCCAAAAGGCGGCCTCCTTTTCATCGGGATAAATTTTACAAGCAGTCCTGGGTGCTAGGTTCTGCTAGATCATTCGAGACAGGCCTGAGAAAGAGAAAGCAAAGCACTGGCGGACCCTTACGCGTAACATCGCGTAACAATAGTTAAGATATCATGACTATACGAACACGTATTCACACGTATTCAGGATAGAATTGGGCCTCAACACTCCGATCAGACCCTCGACCTTGAGGCTGGAGCCGTTGCTTGGCCCAGATGCCGTTAGACAGTGCCAGCAGACACCAGCAATTTTCTTTCCGCACGCGCTTTCTTTGGCAGAACTTATCTGCTAGCTTGATCTCACGGCAGTGGCCGACATTTCCAATTTGCTTTTTAAAGTGCAGGCGTTGTGGATCTGAGTCGTCAGACCGCCTGGCTACAGATCTGTTGAGAAGCGAAAGACGGTCAACCGGAATGGCAGGTAGCAGCTTTCTGCGCTTACTCGTTCATATTGAACAGGCGCCGGTTCCGAAAAGCTAACCCGTCGTGCACTGTACAAGGTGTGAGGACGCTCCTCCGTGCAGGGAGCGCTGCGAGGTCCGCAAGCTGCGGCACATCAGATGAACCAAGCTCGGTCCCATGCACATGGACTTTAAAATTGAAGCAGAATTGGGTTGCTTGTTCTGATCACACTAGCTTGAGCACTGGGTGATTCTCCCACACACAGCGCCGGCAGAAGCAAGGGATCTGCGGATCTTTGCCTGCAGGCTTAGGCTGCCCAGGATGCATCGTGTCCATCAGCCGACACTCCACACGCAAACATGCTTGGACAGGCATGATGAAGCATGCTTTCACAATTGAAGATGTTTTACACCCCGGCACATCTGCTACGGCTATGCTTGCTCCAGGCAGGACACGCATCTCCGATCTGTACTTCTCCTGCGCACGACTGGACAGAGAATCTTGTGCTGTGATCTCCGGGCCTTTTAGAGGGCAACTGTTTTGTGCGCGCCCCGGCTCTTGCCGTTCTCTGTCACCTTGTCACGCTACCTTTCCTTTCGGAGAATGCTGTCTCGCACGGTGTTCTGACCTGGAGTTGCATCCGGCTTCTCCTTCTTGTCTTCATCTGCAGGGTTTCGGAAAGGCTCAGGGACCGGAGTGTGAGTTGTAATCGAAGTAGCCAACATGCGAGACGAATTCATAGTATGGACAGCCACAATAAGGATCAGGAATCCTCACTGAGCTCGTGCAACAGAAGTGGCAAGTCTGTGGTTCTACTTTCTCATTCTCCACAATGTGACATGCTCTGTGGCTCCGGTGCCATCTGTAAGACGTCTTTGTTCGGGTGTTGATCAGGTGGCCTGTTTGATTGTTTGCTTGCTTGCCCGTTTGCCGTACTATGTGTCGTTCTAAAACGCCGCCGGAGGAATGACCACGCGAGCAGCACCGAAGACAACGAGCAAATAACGCTGTAACCACTGATGACTCAAGGCTCAAGGCTCCTCCAATCCATCCGATACTAGGTTGTCGCGCAAACCGCGGTGAAAGCGATACGTGAGCACAGCCTCGATTGAGACCTGATCTTGCAACATCTGTTCTTGTGCAAACTCAACATTCGACATGAAGTGTCAAGCCATGGCACATGCCCGTGAGGTCTCGCAGGATCTCTGGGAGATGGAGCAGTTGTCGCACTCCATATCTGCGGAAGTCCTCTGCCAATGGCGCAGCTGGTCTGAGAGCAGCACACATCAAGCGGGAGGCGTGCTGTGTTGATCTTGACCGTCCAAATCCGAAAACGTGACTTGGTCTGTCGATGTGCTTTAAGTCTACTCAAGAACTCCTGCTGTGGACACTCGCGGGGCGTCACCTCGACTCTTGAAACGCACTTTTCCGCAGGGTTGTGTCATAGCCCCCGCCATGCTGCAAAAGGCTCTATGTAGCACGGGGTTTGTTTGTTGTGTTGTGTGGCGCTGCAGCACAACATTCCCGAAGCCGCGTCACGGTGTTGGCCCCTGCAGAGCGGGTGAAGCCAGCAGCAAAAGCGACTGCCTTGCAAAAGATGGCGAAGGAACTCCTCGGCTTGATGTTTGTGTCAAAAAACGTGCGCAACGCGATGCATCTGCTTCAAGCACCACTAGTCAGATACGAACAAATCGTTCGTTTCCGATATTCCGAAACACAGGTTTGTCTATGATCCGAACGGCGGCGACCGACTGGCATCTGCAGGTGTTGCCATGCGAAAATCAATTCCAACCCAAGCGCCAGGACTGGGGAACGTCCCATTCCCCTTTGGTAATCGCATGTGTGAAGGTAAAAGCCATGCAGCAGTCTTGCTCTTGTTTACAGTGTCGCTGTCATCATCACTGCAAATTGAGGTGTTAGACCGACCTTTTTTGACAACACTGGGCCACGACTCGCATGTAGGGAAGGAAACCCTTGTGCATTTCGCCTCGTGCATGGCCAGTGGCAGTGCAGTTCAAATTGTCTTAGACTTAGTTCCGGGTACATTGCATCGTGTTGCCCGAGAAGTGATGCAAGTTCGGCTCTAGCATGCTCTAGCTCACGGTCAAAGACGCACTACATTGCTACGACTGTTGTTGCTACTACTGCCATACGGACGCGGCGTACACGCATGTGATCCCGGTGCGGCCGGCCCCTGTGGTTCTCCCCGCCCGCATGTGGTGTGGTGTAGTTCGGGATTTTGGTCTGCTTGGAGTGGCTCCCCTCCCCTCCCTTGTGTGATGTGGATCGCTGTTTGGGTCTTTCGGTGCTTGGCATCATCATCATCATCAGTATCAGCGGTTTGGGGTTGAGTTTTGCCTGCGGGTGCTTCCTGCCCTGCCATGTGGTGCGGCGTGGCTCGGGTTTGGGGTCTGCTTGGGGTGCCTCCTTTCTACTGTGGTGCGGGCTGCGGTCGTCATCATCATCATCATCATCGTCGACTGTCACAGGAACTGGGCCTGTCAGGAACGCGATCATCCTGACAGTTGCATGTTTAATACTGTCATGTCGGATGTGCTTGGAAAATGTCCGTCGTCATAAGGATGGTACGAATTTGTAATTAGGGTTCGCGCCAAACCAGAACCGGCCCAAGCCACGGGGGATGACGAGGCGGTGGGCGTCAGTGTCATGATCCGCGTGACTGACTTCCGAACAAAACGAAGGGGCCACTTCACAGGTGGAGAACCTTCCTTACCACTGGGACAGGAGCACCACCTGCACCCACACCGCAGCGTAGCAATGAAAATGAATGAGAATGACAATGCTACTAACAAGTAAACAAGTAACCGGACCATACCTACACCATCCTATGCCCCACCACCCATCAGGGAAAAACGCCGGCACAAACTTTCATGGAGCAAAACACAGCGGCATGGATGATAAAGTGAAGACTTCACCAGATGCAGCAGCCCAAGCTGGCCAACAGACCAGGCTAGAAAACGGCGCAGCCACAAGCTGCACCGAAGCAGAGCTGTGCAGTAGCGTCCAAGAGATCGCATCACCAGAAACCGAAGGCCCACTCAGGTCTATGCTGACGGAGCCAACGCAAAGGGGCACCAAGTCAAGGTGCATAAATCTCAGGACTCAGCCAAAAGGCGGATCCGTGTTTTGTGCCCACAACCAACCTGCCTGTCTGTCCGTCTAGGTAGGTAGGTAGGTAGGTAGGTAGGTAGGTAGGTAGGTAGGTAGTAGATGTATGTGTGTCTGTATGTATGATGCATACATGCATGCATGCATGTATGTCACACAGAGACAACGCTGCGCTCTCGCTCCTCCCTCTCTCTCTCTCTCTGGCTGTCTCTCCCTGTACGGATGTACATCAATACAGTTATTTACATATATGCCATGCATACATGCATGGCAACCAAGCCAACAAACCGACAAAGAGACAGGAGTTCGTTAGAGGCAGGACCAAACATTGGAACTGCAGCTGACACCCTCAGCCGATTCACCGCAGCAGATAAACGCGCATAGACAATGATTCGTACGACACTCATCACCCGCGAGACCTTCAACCCAGCCGGATGCCAACCTGTGTGACATTTACAGTTTACTTTTGTAAGCCATATATGTTATATATTATATATTATATATTTGGGAGCCCTGTGACTAATCAGACAGGGCTCTTCTTCATCCTCGGACTCGGACCTTGTCTTCGGCTCAGCAAAGTTGTCTCCGTTCCTTTTCCCGAGGCCCCGGCTCGCTGTCTGCGGATCCTCGGCTCAGCGCATTGCAGAAGTAGAAGCCATGAGGGTGTGCGATGTGCCAATGCACGGGTTCTACTCCGAGACTCGGCTGACAAAGCTGATCGTCGACTGCTCCTGGCGAGAGACCATTTTTGGGCACCCGCCCAGCTGAGCATGGACTCAGCACGTTTACTTAGATCCAGTTGAGATAGAGAGGAGAGAGAGAGAGAGGTAGAGAGAAGAGATCGTTGCTCCTGAGCAAAGGCATCCCATGCGGAAAGAGGATCGGCCTGCCCACATTGACCTCCTGACAGCACGTCGGCCAAAGTCTGGAAGGCTATCGCAAACAACATGGCGATAGAATGCAGTCCGCTCGGCTTGTGCCCTTCTGCACTTTGCCTTGTGGTTTAAGTACGATTAAGTACCAATTCTACTACCCGTCCAGCGAGGGTCTCTTACTCTAAACACCCAACCTGGCCTTCCTCTTCGATGGGTGGGGTCTCCGCGAAGAGTTCGTGCAGGGTTCGCTCCTCCTGGCCTAGGCCGTGTCGTCACGGTTTAGGATTTAGGGCAAGTGTAGGGCAGTGTAGGGTTTAGGGACAGCCCGAGCTGAAGAAGGGAATGCCGGCATAGTAATTTTGCATAGACCAAACCCCTCTTTGCAGGCAAAGCCCTTAACCGGGCGGACATGGGCAGATGCCTCAGGCCTAGCGGTAACACTCACATGATTCATTGGAGGACTTAGTGCATCTGCTGGTCGAACCAAGGCTCTCCATTCCTCTTCGTCCTGTTTCAGTGGCACTGTGGACTCTTCAAGCTGCTCGAACACGTGATACGAAGGCAAGGGGATGTTGAGTGGAACACTGGGTAGGATGTCAAATGTACGCCTTGGGGGTGGGTTACTAATTTAGTTCGACGCCCTTGGCTTCGATGCTTCTGGCTTTCATGCGGTTGCATAAGCCTTACTGAGCTGCGCTGTAGGTGTAGTCTGGAGACATGTAACTGCAGCACCCACGACTAGAACGCCAGTCTTCTGTTTTACTTCTCCGATGTTAGGTGGCTTCCTGCTGTCAGTCAGAAATGAGAATTCTACGCGCGACTCAAGCTGAGCCTGCAATGAAACATACATTTGTCGGGCCCCGGAAGGCCCAGCACCCCTCCTGGTTGCAAAGGCTTCGAACCACATCGACCACGGTCAAAGCATCCTCGCCATCACCTAAGAATGGGCCATAGCCGGAAACTTCTCTGATTTGACATATTGCAGCACTTCTCCGTGTTTCGTGCTGGCTGTCAGCGCTGACTCATCCCTGCTTGAGTAGTGCACTCCACTCGCCATCGTCATCACAGTCCTCGCCTGTAAGCTGGTAAGCTTCCTGGACACAGCAATGCAGGGCAGTGGGCTTTCGCTCAATCGGTGCAGGATGGGCCTGCCCTTCTGCTCCAGGTTCCCGCCCAAGACTTTGTCGAGCAGTCCAGTTCCCAACCTCGGCAACCAGCGAAGGCCTCACTCTTTGTCTCAATGGAATCGTTCTAGGTCCACGGGGCGGAAGAGAGCCGCGACTTGGACACTCCGGATGTTTTTGGTTCCTTCGCATAGGCCTGATGGAGCACTTCCTCCAAACAGCCCGGGTCGCACACAGGAGTGAGTCGAGTGAATCATGTCAGTTCAGCAGCACCAAACCGCTGCTGCTGTTGAGGCGGCTCGGGCACAAACACGGGCCATGCTTTGCAGCGCGGTTTGTTCAGAGCTGTCCACTGAAGGCCGCACTCACTCTCGTCCTGCTAAAGCTTGCTGACTTTCGTCTCAGGTCGCATAGACGGTGGCAAACCGCGGTCCTTGCCGAAGCCTGACAAAACAGAAATGAAGTACAGTACACAGGGCCCTCACTTTCGCGTGCTTTGATATGCTTCGTAAGCTGCTGGCGGATCAAACCTTCCTGTGTGCAGCTCACAACCTCGGCTCTCCGAGTTGAAACAGGCGAAGCTTCGCCCTTCAGCACTGGCCTGTGCCTTATATATTTCATGTGGCCATGTGGCCAACCAGCCATCACGCGTGAAGATGTGCCCATGGGAAAGCCCACGAGCACCAGTCAAGCGAGGCGAATACATGGCCTGTCCGATTAAGTCGATGTCAGCTACGGTGCTGAAGCTTCGTGTTAGCTGCATCTGCCTCATTAGGAAGTCAAGCATTGACACTCTTGACATAAGGCAGGCGCATAAAGAAGCCACTCGTCGGCGCGCCATCTGGGGAAGGCGTGGTGGAACCACATTGCCTTGGCCAATACAAGGACCGGGAACCCTGGGGCCACGCGTGATTGCTGCCAGTGTCGTTTGTTTGTGACGTTTTTTAGCACACGCTGTTGCTATGAACTGATTGCAGCAGGAGTTCGACTTAAACAGCTGGCGGCTAGCAGCTTCGTGCTGCCTTCTGTTTGTCAATGCCTGGCTTGTAAGTGTCGTGGTCAGGTTCAGGTCAAAGTGTCGTGGTCAGGTTCAGGTCAGGCGAGTCGCGTGATCCAACGAAGCCATCATAGGTCGAGCTTCCCAGAATGATTTCCAGGACATCTCCACCCTCGCTGTGCCTCATGAAAGTGCTGGCGCCAGACACAAGACTGACATGTCCAACAGGTGTTCGACGTGCTTACTTCGCAGTTCAAAGCTTCGCAGCAACCCTTTGAACCGAAACTTCAGTGCTGAGAAAGCAGCTCAGAAGGCCTGCATCACTCTGATAGGCCAGGACGGCATGGTGCACGTGCTCCTGAGATGTGTGCAGACGTTTTCGGCTGCCGGTTGTCAGCTCCGGGCGAGTAAGTACAAGCTGTGTACTGCTTCTACGACATTTCCGAGTCATTCTTATCTTTACTAGTGATACTAGTTACTAGTTACTAGTGACTAGTGCGGTAGGCATTTAGAATATCAGCCACAACACAGCCTGCTCCACTCACCACCAGCGTCACAATCACCAGCTCGACGACAACCACAACCGCAACCGCAACCAGCAACAGCAACAACAACAGATCATCTACTACTACTACTACTACTACTGCTACTACTACTGCTACTGCTACTGCTACTGCTACTGCTACTGCTACTGCTACTGCTACTGCTACCCTCCTCCTACTCCTACTCCTACT